GCTGGTGTTGACACAATTGGGTGGAGAACTGACTTGATGGACAAAAGTGGATGTGGGGAGGCCAGAGAGGAGGCAGTTGCAGTGATCTAGGCAAACGGAGGTGTTTTGTTTAGGGGTTGCTGACAGTGAGGGGAAGGAGTGGGCAGAATTGAGGCGTGCTTAGTAGATAACATGGATAGCCTTGGGAATGGACATGGCACGCGAAGGAGCCTGCCGTGTGAGAGAATGGCACATGCCGTTGACTTGTGTGGAGGGTGAATGGTGGTGCCTTTCATCACACTGGGGATGCAGGAAGAGGCCCTCAGCGGGCTCTCTGGGGAGAGGGTGGCAGAGGGTGTTTGAGCAGAGAGAGTTTGGTTTTGAGTGTGTTGAGTGTGACATGGGGATGGGGGTGTGAACTGAATCTGAAGTCTCTCTAGGGCTTGTGTCCGTCTCTCAGCTCTCTGTTGTGGGTCCTCTCTGGGGACTCTCAGGTGGTCCACCTGTAAGCCAGCTTGTATTTCTCTGCCCACTCACATCAGTACAACAGGTGTTGAGGGACACCGGAGTCCAGCCCTGTCCAAGGCACTTTTTGTGTGTTGTGACATGAAGCCATTCATGAATACTCCCAGAATTACTCCAAATATGAGGTGATGAGGCACAGGGGTAATCGGCGTCCAGGGCAGGGAGAGATGAATGAGGCCCGGGGACTTTGGTATTCTTGTGCTTTAGGCAGCCATGAGGCCAATCCTGTTGCAAGTTCCAGCCTCAGTGATGGCCTTTCTGAACTGTAATCACTTTCTAAGTCCAAAGAGAAAGATGTGACTGAGCAGTGAAACATTTCAAGGGTAGTTAATACACAAGTTTGATAACTTTGGAGGTCACAAAGGCAACAGATGCACTGAAGATATAGTGGAAAGGTTACCTGAGTCTATGTTTGTATATGCACATATATGTTAAGTTTTACCCAAGGAGAAAAAGGAAGTGGCTTCACTTGTGGTATTACTGGTACAACTTATTTAAAATTAAGGTAGATTCTAATTTTTTAAAATTTATGGTAAACCTGTTAGTGAAAGATGGACCCTATTTGGGCAAAATTCTCTTAAATCTGGTGCAGATTAATATCTGCTGGCATCTCCAAGAAAAGAAGGGGACTTTCCTCTGTTCGTGAGTGAGCAGGTGGCTTTGGGAGCAGTGTCTCAAGACCCAGACCTCTAGCTGCTTCCATATTTCTTACCCATCTGGTCCCCTCACTCAGAGAAGCACAGCCCTACCTACTCCGGAAAGCAATACTTGGCCTCCCCAGGTGCCGACAGTTACGACTTCTCTCCACACTGGCCAGCATTCTGTTTTTCTAGCAACAGATGTTTCTGAAAAGTAAATATTATTGACTCTGCTTGGCTCCTTGCTGTGTCTTGCACTGCCTGTACATGAAACAGCAGGGTTATATGAGGAGGGTGCCACGAAGCTTGGCATGCACCCAGCACCAGTGCCAGCCTCTTTTCTTTTCCCTCTCCTCTTACTGGAATGTGTGTGTTAGATTCCTGTGTGCATCAGAGGGAAAGTTCTTGAAATAAACCTTTGGGGAGCTGCATATCCAGGGTGATATCTACATAACATACCACCAGTCCTACTGGGTTGAAATAGGCAAGAAGCAATGGCTTTGAGGTAGAAAGTTCCTCTTTTGATGTTGTTTTCATTCTCTCAAGTAATACAGAGGGTTTACCTTAATGGGGGAAGCGTTATGGTATTCTCACATACTACAAGGATCTCATTTCACAGGACTAAAGTCACAGGTCCTCTCCTTCGTGGCCTTGTGCTTTTATGTCAGTCCTTTAGCTCCTCCGAGCTCCAAACACAGTTATCATGCCTATCTTTCCTGGTTCCTCTTACTGGAGGATTCATATATGAGGAAGGAACAGTGCAGCTATACCTAGAACTGAATTTTACGATGCGCAGACTGCCTATACAGTGTGTCACTGGATTCTCCCTGCCTAGCCCGTGGGCTGACAGCCTCTGTCAGATGAGATAACTGAGACTTGACGACTAACCTAGAGTTCAATACATATCTCATCTATGGTGGAGCTGGAACTTGAACCTAGGAGCTGTGGGAACCCAGGGGTGGGAGCAATGGGTTGGGGTTGATCAGCCTGTAACCAGCACCCCATGGAATGCAAGTGGAGAAGGGAAGTTCTCCAAAACAAGCTTCAGATGCTGTCCTAAAGTCTGGGGAATGGATTCCAAACAAGCAAAAAGAAAGGCGTCCACTTTAGCTTTACTGAAAAATTCCTCTAACAAGCCTGAGGTAAGTTCCTTTTCAGGTCCGCTCATTGAGTTTCTCACTCTACCCAGCTGTCCTCATTAGCCTGAAGCCCAATACTGACTCTGTACCAGCAGTCATTACCTAATCGTCTATTGGGAGGTTGGCCTCTCCCTGAGCTTCCTGGGTCCTCACTGCTCCTCGGGTTTGCTGTGGCAGGGTGTGCTCTGTGCCAGCAGACAAGGAAATCAGGTCACCTGCTGGTCAGAAGGTAACAGGCCCTGCCCTGGGTCAGCAGGTCCCCCCGTGCAGAGGCCCCACAAAGGCCCCGTTGTACATGACTAGCCCCTCCCTGATCCTCACTGCCAGCTGCCCTTGGAAGTGCAGCTTTTCAGGTGTGTGCTGGGAGCTTGCCCAAGCCTGGCTTGCATTTCACCTTTTTCCACTTTGTTGAGGTGATTGTCCAGCTTGCGTTTCTCTTGCCTATGGGGGAGGCATAGGATTGTCAGGTGGGTAGAAAAGCAAACCTGTGTTACTCTAGAGCAGACCTTCGTGAGTTCTGATCAGGGAACATCCTGACTAAAATAGGAGTGTGTATAAACACAGCCACATTTGATGCACACACCTTTGGGCGTGCTAACAGAACGTTGTCTTCCACTCTAAAATATTATTCTCTCCCTTTTTTCTCGTGTCTACCTGTGGCCTCCTCCTGTCTTCCTCCCCATAGGATTCTAGCTTTTGGGTGCATCTGTTTCCTTCTTGGCTTGCCTTGTGTGATTTGTGTTCTGAGGGATAGCTTCAGCCTGGGCTGGCCAGTTTTGACAGATGCCTGAGTCCCTGCCAACATCTTTTGACATTTTGGCAAGGACCATTCTGTGAAAGAGACTGAACGAGGGGGAGACCAGAGACCGTTGGCTCCTGTGTTCCCCTTCTCCAGCCCAAGTGCCTTCTTTTGGTGTAAACCAGAGTGCTTTGCACAAGCCGCAGCTAGCTCAGGACCATGGCATCGGAACGTGTGGTAGGGAGGTCCCAGGAGCAGGAGCTGCAGCTGCTCTCCATGCAGTAGCCTGAGCCCTGGTCCTAAAAACAGCATCACAGCCCAGGCCCGGCTCTTCGTTAGCAGCTATTGCTTGGAATGAGCACTGGGGATTGGATTTGTATCCATTGTTGTACTCCCCCTTCACTGCCCCCGACATTTATTCAGCATACACTGAGCAGGATGCACAGGTACTCAGAGAGGAAACAAACCAAACCAAACAAAAAGATGGAAAACACGATCCCTAACCTCAAGGGGCAAATCCGGGAGCTAAGAAAAAGTACTCGGAGTTACGGATGCTTTTATTCTAGTAGGCTATGTTGATCTGTGCAGCCACAGTCACACTCCCTCTCCGAATATCTTATTAAAGCCAGGCCTTGTTGCCGGTTCTGCCTCATGTTTTCCTCCCCTGGGCATTTGGACATAATGCCATTTCCCCTTCAATAAGGGAAACATGTATGAGGGTAATTTGAATGATTAGCCTAATCTGCAGGAAGACTGCATATGGAATTAAGTTAAACACATTTGTGCTCAGCAGCCAGATCTGTCAGTCCACTTAAAGGTACCTTGGTGGTTTCATACTCTTAACAGAAGCTGAAGGCTCAGTAAGGATCATTGGCTTTCATTACTATTTTCAGTGAAAGCTTATGATGATGATTTTTTTTTTTTTTTTTTTTTTTTTTTTGAGACGGAGTCTTGCGCTGTTGCCCAGGCTGGAGTGTAGTGGCATGATCTCAGCTCACTGCAACCTCCACCTTCCAGGTTCAAGCAGTTCTCCTGCCTCAGCCTCCTGAGGAGCTGGGACTACAGGTGCAGGCCGCCACCACCGGCTAAATTTTGCATTTAGTAGAGATGGGATTTTACTGTGTTGCCCAGGCTGGTCACGAATTCCTGAGTTCAGGCAATCTGCCCGCTTTGACCTCCCAAAGTGCTGGGATTACAGGCGTGAGCCACCATGCCTGGCCGATGATGATTTTTTATGAAAAGCGCCCTTGAGAATTTTTCTTATGGATGCTGTGTGTGGAATGTGTTTTTACTCCAATGCGAAACATTGCTGGGGCTTTGTTCTCCTGGTGGTGTTGGATGTGACCAGCCAGGAAAATGGTTCAGGTGAATGTCAGGCTGGTGGTCCCCTCGGCTCATAAGGAGAGTGAAGAGGATTGTGAGAACCTGGGCCTTGCCTATGCTTGAGTCAGAAGAGGAAGGCCAAGTGCTACGGGCAGGGCAGTTCTCAGCCCCTCCTCCCAGCCTTCCCCAGGCTCCCTCCCTAGTGAAAGTTTGTGTTGTGGGTAGGACCTAGAGGAAACGATTGTTGAGTCAGACGTGTGGGGGCAGCTGCACTGACCGTGTGGAGGGTCAGTGGCAGAGCAGCCCTGCAGGCTGTGGACACTAATTCTGGCTCAGATCCAAGCTTTCTCCCCGACTTTCTTTGGCAAGTAGATTTCCACACGTCGAACAGAGATGACGAGTTGCCTTTAAGAAGTAGAGCTAAAACTTGAATTGTTAAGGCCAATATAACAAAAATATTAACTTCTAGAGCAAATCAGTGCTTCATGTTATAACCAAGCGTTGGCTGTTTTGAATTTATATTCTTTTGTGCTTTGAAATGGACGCAGGAACAAATCTGCCCCCTAAGATATTCCTGGAAGGAACAATAAGGGCAGCAAATCAGAAATCCAGTTTAATTTTAGTAATTCCTGACTTTTCCTTTCTTTTTCTTGCTAGATTTGTCTTCAGCGAAGCGGAAGTTTGCAGATTCCTTAAATGAATTTAAATTTCAGTGCATAGGAGATGCAGAAACAGATGATGAGATGTGTATAGGTAAGTCCTAACTGTGCAGAAGATAAAAATGTTAATTGTTCATTGTCGCCTTCAGTGTCCCAGCAGAACCTTTTTTCCTGGGATAGGAAATCTTTAAGATTAGTAAAGAAAGAAGTCCTTAGTAGAAGTGGAGGGGCAGAGATATGTGAGGATTGGGGCTAGGGGCTACTCTGGTCCTCTCAAGTTCTGGGATTGCCTCACCCTCCAGCATGCAGGAGAGAAAGCTTGAAGTTTTGCAGTGAGGCTCTCCTTTCCACCTCCCTTTCGTGTTTTTCTGGCTGGTGACATTCTTCCCCTCCAACCACAGTGCTAAGAGCTTAGAGCATAAGTGAAACACAGGTAGATGAGGGGAAAATTAGATCAGAGTTTGCAAAATGATAGCTCCTAGGCTGAGATCAGAACACAGCCCTGTTTTCTTTGGCTCTCATTTTAAAAATTAAATTACCACATCAATTCAATTTGTAATCCAAAATTCCAGTTTTCTAGCTTCTTCAAAAAGTTTGGAGAATTTAATCTATTGGCTCCCCCCATTCTGACCTGGCAGCAGTTGGCTGAGCTGTGCGGCTGCCACTGCCTTCAGATAGGGAGAGGAGCTCTGTGTCTGGTTCTCCTGTGCTGTGGGCGGGGAGGTCCCCACCTCTCTTGTTTCCTTAAAAAGAAGCTGAGGTGGGTTACTGTTTATCACCAGGCTCTGCTGCTTCACTCTTCACCATTACCTGCCTTGGTCTGTAGGCAACCCTAAGCACAGAGGATCTGCAATGTTAAGATACCTTTCTTTGCCAGGGCCTTGTCATTGCACGCTATTCTCCTATGGGCACCTTGGTTGACTCCATTAAATGAGCAAGAATTGAGAAAGTTTTATTGGATTAATTAATTCATCAAATGCTTATTGAGTTCCTCTTGCCATGCAGAACGCCAGGATCTGGGGCTGAGCATAGGCGATTGGGAGACAGCTGAGCGTGGTGAACACGCGTCCTGTAACTTTTGAATGCATGGATGCTTTTCCCAACATGGCTCAAGGGTCTCGAGTATCCGCAGGGCCACTGCACATAATGCTTATTGCTTTTGTGAATAATTCTGGCAAAGACGACTGTCATGTCTAAGCACCATGCTTCGAGGTGCGTTTTATTAGTGAGTGGCTTGAGTGCTCAGGCGGAACCCAAAGAGAAGCCAGAGATGTGGCTTCCAATGGCAGCAGCGCTGTTTGTTTAGTTCTGCTGCCAAAGAAAAGGCTGAGTTCTGACGCAACACCATGACAAAGGTTGAGGAGGTCAAATCCGGACAGGAAATTCTTCAACTCCTAAGCGGAACTCTGCCCCTTCCAGCCTGGGGCCTGGAAGTCTGCCAGCATCTCACCAGTCCTGGGTACTCTCAGGAATGGGCAGGTCTTTTCCTTAAAGAAATCATTCCCTAACTAGAGTGCCGGGTGGAATTAACCTGCATTTCTGGGTCATCCTTAATGGTTAATGATTAAAAAGATGAAGGGAGCCTTGGGAAGCAATTGGCTTTAGGCATCTGTATGTGCCAAGGAATTAAAATCCATAACATAATAGCCAGAGCTGGAAAGGCTCCTCAAGACCCCTGGCACTCCTTCCACCTCATGGCCCCTTTCTCTTTTTCAGCAAGGTCCTTGCAGGAGTTTGCCACTGTCCTCAGGAATCTTGAAGATGAACGGATACGGATGGTGAGTAGGGCTGGGCTACTCTTGGTCCCAGATAGTAAGTTCGTGTTGAGGAAGCAAGGGATTGGTTATTAGAAGAATCAGATTGAAATCCAGACTCTACCACTTGAGTGTTTTGAGCTCTTCAGCAAGCCTCATCTTTGTAGAGTTTGAAGCCTTTTGTGACTATTAAAGGATTACTCTGGTGGATAATTTTAGAATATAGTTAAACGACATCCTTCTGAAGATTCGTTTTAAGGTCCTATAAGCATTTCACCTTTTTAGGCCTCAGATTCTCTACCAGCAGAATGGCAAAGAAGGTGCCCCACTCTGCCCTTACCCCATTTTATTGAACCTGATCAAGAAGAGCCCTGTGAGGGTAGGGATCACTTCACTTTTCTTTCTTTCTTTCTTTTTTCTTTTCTTTCTTTTTTTTTTTTTTAAATTAGACGGAGGCTCTCTCTGTCACCAGGCTGGAGTGCAGTGGCACTATCTTGGCTCACTATAACCTCTGTCTCCCGAGTTCAAGTGATTCTCTTGCCTCAGCCTCCTGAGTAGCTGGGACTACAGGCATGCGCCACCACGCTCAGCTAATTTTTGTATTTTTAGTAGAGATGGGGTTTCACCATGTTGGTCAGGATGGTCTTGATCTCTTGACCTCGTGATCTGCAGCCTCCCAAAGTGCTGGGATTATAGGTGTGAGCCACTGTACCTGGCCTTCACTTTTTATTTTTAAGCACCCAACACAGTGTCTGCCAGGTAGTGGGTAACCAGTAAACAGGTACTTTGTAATGAAGGTAACTATAAAAAGCTCTTCAAATAGAGGCATTGTCCACATTTAAGGGTCAAATGCTGATCTCCAGGTTCTTAAGAGATATCTTTTGTACTAGAATTTATTGTTCTGGGAGACAGACAGGGTCTCACTCTGTCACCCCGGCTGGATTGCAGTGGTGGAATCATAGCTCACTGCAGCTGCAAACTCCTGGGCTCAAGTGATCCTCCTGCTTCAGCCTCCTGAGTAGCTAGGACTATAGGTCTGCACTACTATACCTAGCTAATTTATTTTTTATTTTATTTTATTTTTGTAGAGATGAGGTCTTGCTGTGTTACCCAGGCTGATCTCAAACTCCAAACTTGAAATGATCCTCCCACCTTGGCCTATCAAAGTGCTGGGATTACAGGCATGAGCCCAGCTTATAATTTATTCTGATATAGTTCAGCATTAGCAGATAAGAGCTTCCACATCTACAGGAAGTTCCTTTGCATTTTCCTCCATATCCTTAAGATATGAGGAATGAAGCCTGACTTGAAGTCCCCTGCTGGCTGAACACTGATTTGCCCCTAGGAGGGCTTATCTTCAGGCAGCAGTGCTCCAAAGGTCTAGGAGAGATTGCATTAATCAACATTTGCTTCTCTTCCCATACTAATAGTTGGTAGTTTGAACACTATTCACCAAGACATAATGTAGCCAGTTCCTTTACATGCATTTTCTATTTTAACCGTCATGGTGACTCTGCGAAGTGGTATCTGTATTAATGCTATTTTCAGATGAAGGTATTGAAGTTTACAGAGGTTAAGTAACTTGTCCTGGATCACACGTTAATAAGTCATAACTGTGTCATAACTTGGGATCAAACCCAAGTCTGCATTATATTTTAAAATGTGGGGGCCAGGTGTGGTGGCTTTTGCCTGTAATCCCAGCACCTCAGGATGCCAAGGTGCGAGGATTGCTTGAGCCTAGGAGGTTAAGACCAGTCTGGAGGCAACACAGTGAGACCCCCATCTCAACACAATGTTTTTTAAAAAGGCTGGCATGGTGGTGCACGCTTGTAGTCCCAGCTATTTGGGAGGAGGTAGAAGGATGGCTTGTGCCAGGAAGGTCAAGGTTGCAGTGATTTGTGATTGCACCATTACACTCCAGCCTGGACAGCACAGCAAGACCCTGTCTCAATTAAAAGAAAAAAAAAGGAGGATTTCTTTAAAACTCCAAACAGAGTAGAAGCCTCTTACTTTCTGCCCTACAGAGAGACCCAGTTTCTCTTGCTTGCTCCCTGCTGGTGCCTGAACCAGAATCAGAAGGGTGGTGGCAGCAGCAGTGGGGGCTGGTGGTGGGTGGAAGCCAGGGAAAGCTAGTGTGTTTGTGCACATGCTGGTGCCTGAGAAAGGGAAATGATTCTTTTGAGTCTGATTCTTGGCTGAGTTAGTATTTGGGGGTGGGGGTGTGGTAAGCAAAACGCCATGAATACCCTGCAGATTGCTATGGCCTGTGGTAAGGGAACAATGACTGGATTATACTTTTCAGCTTGCCTCTGCAATTTTATTATTAATGTCAGTAAATTGAGTTTCTACTGTCTGCATCTGAGTATCTGGCCATTGCAAGCCCCTTCTCTACCTCCTTGTCCTATGACAACTTCATCATCAGTTCAGTTCAACTCAGCAAACAAAGCTGCACCTTCCCTGGGAAGCCTTTCCTGAGTTTCTGGGTTATATGGCTACCCTTGGTATTTTCTTAACATCCAGTTCATAATTCTGATCCTGTGTTTACCACATTGTGTCCTGATAAACATTGTACCTGTCTGTGACCTAGAGTAAATATGAGTTCCTCTAGGGCGGAGAAGGGGCTTCCATGTCCCCAGCATCAGGCAGTGTTAGAACCAAGTGGACGTTACACAGTCATAGAATCTTAGACTAAGTGGGACCTTATTCCTCACCATCTGCAGTTGCTCATTTGACAGATGAGAAAACAAATCTTATTCAGGATGATAGCAAGTAGTAGTATGGCTGGGACTAGGACTTGTGTGTCCTCATTCCCAGGTGAGCAGTTGAGTGCTTCTGTATTATAAGCATCTGCTTAGGACTAGATTCTCAGTCATGGATGTCCTCTGGAATAACTTGGGGAGTTTGAAAAATACTGATGTCTGGGCTAAGTCCACGGATTCTGAGTTAGTTGGAGTGTAGCCTAAATATAGGGATTTTAAAAGCTTTCCAGGTGATTCTACTATGTAGTTACAGTTGAGAATCATTAACTTAGGGGCTTGACAAATTTTTGTGGGCTTCAGAGACTTGCAGGTGGTTTGAGGAAAAGACTTAAGTGAACTGATTAAGTAACATCAAATAACAATAAAAAGTATAAAATCAAACAAGTTAACACCATAACACTCTTAAATTTCAGTCTTCTGAAATAAGTGATCTCAAAATTGAGAAAAAGGCAAGTGGGAATAAATTTGGAGACCTTTTCTGTCCCTTACATTGTTCAGTTAGTTCTTTACTGTGTCCATCTGTGACTTCTGGCATTTACCCTGTTAGTTTCATTGCAGTGGACATGCGTGTGGTTTAGGAAAAATAATGCTTTGTTGTAGCGAGATTCCGGGAATAATTAGTTGAGCAAAGAGTGATAAATGAATGACTTAAAAGGAAAAACTATAAAATACTGTACTGCCTTAGAAAAGACTATAGAGTCTTAGAGCTGGACAATTCAGCCCACTCGTTTTGCAGATGACGAAATTAGAGCCCAGAGAGGTTAAATGTTTTGCCCATGGTCACACAGTTGGCAGCCAATGAAGAAATAATCCATTCATTCATTTATTCATTCAGAAATGTTTGCGTGCTGCTTTGTCTCAGCACTCTTCTTTGTTTTGGGGGTAGTGGTGGCAAAGTGAGCCTTTAGAAGATACTGTCGTGTGTGTGTGTGTGTGCGTGTGTGTGTATAAATGTGTGTAGTGGTGAACCAAAACACACTTGTAGGGGAGGGAAGTTGAGTTATGTTGGTAGTCAGGGAACACCTCCCTAAAGAGGTGATCTTTAAGCTGAAACCTTAACTACGTAAAGGAACTGTCCCTGTAAGGGTCTGGGAATACAGTGTCTGAAGGAATAGCCAAATGCTATGGGCCTGACGTGGGACAAGTTTGGTGTGTTTGAAGTGCACTGGTGTGCAGGTAGGTTGGAATGCAGGATCTGAGGGGTGACCCTGTGAGATGAAGCTGAGAGGCGGACAGTAGTCAGGAGGTATAGTTGTCTTGGCTTTAGTCCAGTCCTGTCTTGGTAGAGTGACACAAAATCAGGTTTGAAAGGTTTATGCGCCATCAAATGTCCAGAGGTTTTTTGTTGTTGTTGTTGTTTTGTTCTTAACCTAGACTCAGTGTTGATCTACTTTACTTGGGTAAATGAATGTTTACAAGAAAATGTCACCTGAAGCTTGTAACTAAGACTCCACTCTTTCACCAGTTTCCCTCTGTCCCTTCAGACGGTTGCTTTAACAGTTTGAGTTCCTCATTTTTACTTTCAAAGAATCGGTATGAATCATGCATGGGAGGAACAGGATCATATTTTGAAATGTAACAGTTTTGATATGACATGCTGTTAGTTCAAACGTTGTAATCAGTTGACACCTATAACATTGCTTACTCAAATTTTATCCTAAGACATGGGGAGGCATCTTGTGCTGGAGCTGCTGTAATCCTTTACTGATACTGCTTTTGTGTCTTCTTTCCCCTACTCTGTTTTTCTTCACTAGATTGAGAATGCCAGCGAGGTGCTTATCACTCCCTTGGAGAAGTTTCGAAAGGAACAGATCGGGGCTGCTAAGGTGAGAATTTTGCAAGCTTTGGTCTTGGATTTTAGAGTGAGAGATCTGGAAAACACAGCACCTTCTTAAAAAAAATGTAAGAATGTCTTCAGAAAATTGGAGCCCACCTTCTTCAGAAAATCTTAGGTAGAGAACTCTATAGAGCCTAACTTATCAGATCTTTACAGGTGACTGAAGTATGGCCATCTGAGCGGTCAACCCTAGATCAGCCATTCTGGTATTTTGTTACCTAATTGTTTCGTGCTTGTTCATAAATCATCCAAAGGTAGAAACCACACCTTGTTTGTGTCATTATAATAGATAGTTGTATGCTTAGACAATTGCCTATATTGGACAATACATTTGTTTTTGTGGAATTGTATTTGTTGTGGAGGTCCAGGACTTGCATCTTAAACAGGGGCTACCAATTACGCCCTGAGGGTATGGGGACTTTCTTTAAAGGGAGGCAGCTTGTACGTAGGTTGAGCTGATTTTTGCTGGGTCCGGAAATGGGCCCTCTCTTGCTGATTCTTTAAATGTTTCAAGACAAACTGAAAAGCCAGTTTTATGTGAAATTTTTTATTGGCAAATAATTTAAAAATATATGTTACACATTGTGCAGGTCAAAAAATGACATCTGCAGGCCTTGTTCAACCTGGAGATCACTATTTGTTATCACTGACCTGGAAGGATTATAGCCTAAACCTGACTAATTCTAATGTGTTCTTGAGAGACTCCTGTTCCTTTGTAAAAGGTGAATTCTCCAGGGCTCCCTTGTCCTGTAATAAATCACTAGCAGAGCCAGGCGTGGTGGCTCACGCCTGTAATCCCAGCACTTTGGGAGGCCAAGGTGGGCGGATCATAAGGTCAGGAGTTTGAGGCCAGCCTGGCCAATACGACGAAGCCCCATCTTCATGGTGGCATCTGCCTGTAGTCCCAGCTACTCATGAGGCTGAGGCAGGAGAATCGCTTGAACCCAGGAGGCGGTGGTTGCAGGACCTGAGATCTCACCACTGACTCCAGTCTGGGTGACAGAGTGAGACTCTGTCTCAAAAAAAAATAAAGTCTCTAGGAAATCCTAGCTGGTTTGACCTTCAGTAGAGTGTTAGAGGCCACCTGCAGGGAAGATGTTTTCATTGGAATCAATGAAAGCAAAAAGATTTACAACATTTTCTTCCTGGTTTTCCGGAACTGTGAGTCAGTTCAGCTGCAGTCTCTTATGCCATCTGCAGGGGTTTTTGGGCAACACCACCTTCCTACTTGTGTGGATTTTACTTAGTTGCAAAATGAGGTATTCGTTGCCCCTGCAACACACACACACCCGTTAAGTGCATCAGCTTTCTGGAAATAGATATGGTTAGGGCCCACAAAATATGTTGTTTATTCAGGGTCCTTCAGAGAGATGGTTGACTGTAGTTTGAAGGAGGGACCATGGCAGAGACTTTTCTCCCAGTTTTATAGTACTTTTCTACTAATTTTGGTTTACACATTTATAAGGAAGTAAGGAATGTATATATATAATTTGCATGAAGTCTTATTCCACTAAGATTTCATCCAGACTGTGAACCAGCCCAGTGATGGTAGATAATAAACCGTGAACAAACGCTCCCAAACGCTCCTTCGGTTCCTGCAGTGCAAGCCCCCCGGCAGGTCTCCTCTCAGTGGCCTTGGCACCTGTGCCTCCCCAGTCTTGAACATGCTTGGCAGTGGCTTCCAGGGTTTATGCAGAGCTTTGAAATCAAGGCAGAGCAGTCCTGTCTGTTGAGTCATTTTTCAGTAGTTACTTCTCTTTCTGAGCACAGACGCCTCTCACTCTGGCCTCTTCTCTCACCGGCTTGGGTGTTACCGTGGTTACTGAGGAGGCGAGACAAGAGTCTGACTGGGCTCCCTTTGGGCTGGTACCAGTGATCTTAATGACAGGAAGAGGTACTGTCCCACCAAGGGGTATACATGGTGACATATTAGGATAAAATAATTTAAATAAAATAGTCACTTACCAAAGCATGTTTCCCCTCATGCATATTCTATTCCCCCATTCATTAAACCGTGAATAATAATGAATTATTAAACATCTTATGATCATTAAAGAAGAATTGTGATGATATTTGGGTGATTTCTCATCCCTCCGCATTTGTCATTCTTTTCCCCCTGGCATGTCCTCCTATCCATCACTCCACATACACATACATTTTTGTCATAACATTATGTAAATTTAAGAGAAAGCAAACAAGCTAACAACAGATCCACTTCTAGACGATCCAGGGAACAGTCTCAAGAACACTTCGGAGCCAGCAAATGCTCTTCGGCTGGTTTTGGTAGTGGCCAGGTGGAGGTTCTGAACTCTGCCTGTGCCAGCGCTAAAATTGCTTTTTCCTCCTCCTCCACTCTCTGGTGTTGCTTCAGTTGCCATAACAGCCTGTTGCAGAATGCACGGTGTGAAGGCTGCCAGGGAGGAAGACTCTTGGGCATTCTTAGGAATGCTGAGGAGTAGGGCATCGCCCTGGTGCTTGACTTAACCATGGCCCTAAGTTTCTGTTCCTGAGTTTGAGGAAATTAATTTTTCCTGTGTCAGAGGAACATTTGGAATGCTGGACTCTGCAATAAGTATAACAGGCATAAGAGTAGCATAAAGAGTGAGTCTGAGCCAGACCACCTGAATCCAAATCTCACTTCTGCCATTTGTATGTAGACTTGGGGAGGTTACTGACCCTCTTTTTGCCTGTTTCCTGATCTCTAAAATGGGGTAATGATAAAACTTGCCTCAGAGAGTTATTATGAAGAAGTGAGTGAACTCATATCAAATGCTTAAAACAATGTCTATCATATAGCTACCTGAACACAAGAACAATGTGTGTTACGTAGTCATTTGATGCTAGTGATTATATTTGATACACACAATTCATTCATTGAAAAAATATGTGAGAGCTTACTCTGTGCCAGCATTGTTCTGTGCCCTGATATTTGGTGAAGAACAAGGCAGATGTGGTTGCGTTGCTCATGGTGTGGCTGGGGAGAAAGACGTTAGACAAAAAGAGATAAATAAATACATAATTTCCAATTGTAGTAGGGTCTTGGGAGGGTTACCTTCATGGCACATGGGGCATAGAAAGCAGGTGCGTTCTTGGTAAGAAGGAAGCAGGTTTAGGTGATAAGCTCACCCCTGTCACCACCATTGCTGGTGTTTATTGAGCACTTCCCATGCGGCAGGCACCCTGGTAAGTACTGCTTGTGGTTTATTTCATTTATTCCTAGAAATCCTTTGGTGGGTGGGTGGGGGGGGGTCCTTATTTTTATTTTGTTATATGGTCTTTGAGCTGAAAAAAGAAGCCTGAGCAATTATTTAATCATCCTCAATTTATAGTTGAGGAAATTGAGTCCTGGAGGGGGATGGTGATTTGTTTCTAGCCAGTCCATATTGAGTTCGGAATATATTTTAGGATTCTAACTCAATCCTTGACTTAACCACCCCCCAGTAGACTCTCTGAAAGGTGAAAACCATCTTGAGTCCTGACTAATGGAGTAATACCACCCTCCCATCTTAGGAACGTTATCTAAACTGCAGTACTTTTTTGCTGCAGAGGTCTTATTGCTATTTTCTCAGGACAGAAACGGCTTCTCTTTCTCCTTCTTCTTTTCTCTAACTTTGGCTGTCCTCTTAAACATGGAAATCTGGAAGCACGAGTTGCCAGAATGTCCCAGAATGCCAGTGACTCATGTTCCCTGGCCTTTTCTCACCTCTGGCCAGCTGGGTTGTCCGGCATCAGGGTTCTCCTTTTTGGGGTTGCTGATAAGGCTGGTTGGAGTGGATACGTGTGAACAGCAATTGGAGTTGGAGCCCCAGTTCAAAGTTGCTGGTTTCTCTAATGGAAAAGAACTGCTTGAGTCAAGTTTCTTGCCTGTACCCTCCTCAGATTTGAAGGAGTAATGTGACTTCAGGCTTTTCCTTCATTTGCTGCTGTATGCTTAATTGTTCTTGGACTAGAGTAGTCTTTTAAGCCAAGCTCAGATTCATAGAAATGGATATATGTCAGTTAAAATCGATATGTGATTATTCTCTCCACTCTGTGAGCATATGCCAGATGAGTGGTATTCTGACAGGTGGAGCTTGTCAGGGCTCTGGGTGATGGCTTCTTGCTCAGAGTGTCCTGCCCCAGGGCATTTGCACTTGACTGTTCTGCTCTAGAAGGCTCTTCTCTACTCCTATATTTAACAGGTAGGCCTCAGCTCACATCTTCCTTCCCTAAAACATGTGTTTCCTGGGTGCCATATCTAACGAATCTCTGTGACCACACCCTGCTTATTTCCTTTGTAGCACTTGGCAGCAGTCTATAATTGTGCTGATGATTTGTTTACTGGTTAATTGTGCTTCTCCTACTAGAACATTTCTACCATGAGGGTTGGGACCATTTTTGTCGTATATTTCTGGTACGTAAAGTAGAGCCTTGCACAGAGAGGTTGCTGATTTTAAATTTGTTAAAGGAATAAAGAGATGTGTCTGAGCTTCCTTATTTAACCAGAAAATATTTTTCCTCTTCTAAGCCCTGAAGTTGCAGAAAAACATCCCTATGGGTTTGGGCTCCACATGAGTCAAAAGCAGGAATGATGTACCCAATTAGTAAATTCGATCCTGTGTATCAGCCCAGTGCCAGCCTTCTTCCAGCCTCCTTGCCTGCTCTCCCCACTGGAATGTGGAAGGAAGGCAGACTGCCTGTGGCAATCTGTCTCAACTGTGGTGGAGAACATGGGCTTTGGAGGCAGACTGTCCTGGGCTCAAATCCCAGCTCTGTCACTCTCCATGACTTTTTACAAGTTCACCTCTTTGGATCCAAGTTTTCTTACCTGTTAAATGGGTGACAGAAATAGAACCACAGTGACCCAGTGATTCAGTGGTGGGGAGCAGGGATTTATTTGTATATTATGGTAATTATTTTTCATTTTGAAGGCAATAATACAGGCTAATAAAACAATTTCTTAAAGAGAAGAAAAAACTGTTACCCCGTTACCATATTACAGATATTTTCCTATAAGTAAATTCCCACGTCATTTTTGTCCATAGGTAGACACACTCTTTGTAGGTAGGATGTATCAAGTTTATATAATGCTATTACTTTTCTCTCTAATTTTCCAGTGACTTGTTATGCTTATTAGATGTTCCATACTTTATTTATGCCAAACTCTATCCTTGGCAATGATGTTGCTGCTGCTGCTTTTATTTTTGTTTTGCTGGCATAAATGGTACTGTAGTAAACACATTTGTGTGAAGATAATGCCATTGTTTTGAATTATTCCTCAGCTTAAAGATCTGCATGTGATATTAAGTGTCAAGAGGTATTTAGGCTTACATACCAAGAAGCATTTTTTGAACAGTATTAAGGCTGGATCTAGCCTTAGGATAGGCTTCTCTCATTCAAACTGTAAGAAGATCTTCCTTCCTTGATGTTAGCTTCATAGGTACCCTCACTGCCGCTGCCCGCCCCCACCCCCCACCCCCCTGACCTTCTGGCGTTGAATATCCTTGTGAGTTAGAAACTAGAAATTTCTATTTCACGAAGTTCTTAGAGGGAGAATCTCAGCTTTGCCACCATTAAATACTGGTATTTACCTCATTTCTGGCCTTGTAATGGTGACTCTCTGTTAGACACTCAAACCCAGGGGGCTGTTGATGGGTGGCTGCGGGATTCAACGGGCATCACCTGAAAGGTAGGAGCCGAGTTGTCATCTGTGTTCTGTGCAGAAAGATCTTGAGAGATGGAGGCTGCTTTTATTCCTGAAACATGTTACTTTTTTCTTTTTCTTTTCTCCTTTTTTTTTTTTTTTTTGCCAGGAAGCTAAAAAGAAGTATGACAAAGAGACAGAGAAGTATTGTGGCATCTTAGAAAAGCACTTGAATTTGTCTTCCAAAAAGAAAGAATCTCAGCTTCAGGAGGTAAGAGACTTTATTAGTATCCTGAATAAAGTGTTCAACTTGTACGTGGTGCTTTGGATATGTGCTGCTTGCTCTTTGCTGGAAAATCTTAGGGTTAGAAGGGACCTGGGAAGTCAGGAACTTGCTCCTGATCTCTCATCCAATGCCTGATGCCTGGACTGCCTTTGTGTCCTCCCATCCCACTGTGGCCACCCTTTGTAGCTTTCTAGCCTGTCAAGGTGGAACACACTGCTGGCCGAGATGACGTCCTCCTTGTTGGGCTGCCCTGATTGCTAGATGTCTTCATTTCAAACTGCTGTTTCTTTTCCTGTTTCTCTCATTCTTGACCTGAATTCTGCACTCTGTTTACCTTTTGACTTCCTGCCTTTTATCAGTGATTTGAAATGTTGGCATCTCAAACGTTTTGATTATCCTTCCTTAATATTATTTTTTTTTCATTATTTCAACCAGCCCTTGACATTAGTCTTCTTTCTTTTTTTTCTTTTAAAGTAGTGCTTTCTTTTCCTGTATATGTTTTGTGCTTTGGTAATGTTGTTTCAAAAAAATTCATTTCTTAAACTTGCTCTTGGTTTTTCTGGGTGTGCATGGTATCTTTTAAAAGGTAGTTCACTTGGAAAGAAAAATGATGGAACCATGGCAGCCATGGAGCTGTGACTATTTTTATTTAGTTCATGAAGACTGGCATGTTAAGGGAGTTTATGCTTCTTGGAGACAGGGGAGTTTCCTAGTGGAACCCCAAATTTGGCTTGAAAAATGTCATCTCATTTAACTGAACAATTTGCTCAACCTCTCTCATGATATTTTTGTGAAAAGAGGCTCCTGTGGCTTCCAGGTTGACCCTTGATCTTGAATTTTAATTCTTTTTGAGCAGATACCATGCTTCTGTTAGGTGAAAGTTCACATGAGGACAGTGGAGTCAGAGGTTGAAAGGTTGAAGTAAGAGATGGTAGAGTTCAGTCCCCTCCCAACCACAGTTGGTTACACATCTTGGGATAGGAATGTGGTGTTCTCAGAACTCTGCTTTGAAATGAGTATTTAATCCAGTTCTTAGAGTAGTGATGAGGACCATTACTCAACAGCAATGACAACTGTAGCAACAAGTGTTTATAATGGGCTTTGCAGATCAGTTCTTGACCAGCCAGCAGACAGCACTGAGTGTTTGATGTGTGCTTTACAAAGTAGAAAATGCTGATTTATCCTTGAAGATCTTGTGGCTGAGTAGGGAAAAAGAAGCTAAAGCAGAGGAAGTGTTTTCTGAAGGGGCATAGCTACTCAGGTAAATCTTGTCAAATGTGATTGAAAAACCTTAAAAAAACAACAACAACAACTTATTTTCATAGGGTATAAAGACTCGCAACTTGACAGGAGGATATAGGCACTACCCCAAAGATGTGGATAGTCCACGATAAATATGGAATTCTATTTAGAATCTGTCCTGATACCCTCACTTTTTGGTTATTCTTCTGGCATCACTTGGCATTTTAGGATTTGGAAACTAATGTATGTTTAAAGAAAGCCTTTTTGGGTGTGCTTCCCAATGACCAGGTCGGTCCAGCTCTCCACATTCTAAGCAGTTATAAATTATGGGTTAGATGACTATGCACCATTAGTACAGATACTCAAGAGTATTCAGAGTTGAGCAGGTGTGTGGGTTTTTCTAGCACCTGCTGAATTTGGGAGGCCCACAGCACAGTTACCAGTAGGCACGGCATTCCCTAGAACAAAGCTGCTTCTCCACCAGGTCCATTCTCTCCATGGCCAGATATTGCAGACTTGGTCTTGAATGAGTCCAACATTTTCTTATAGGGCCCTAAATGCCCTCTGAGTTACCACAGTATAGGGACCAGAACACTGGGCTGGCAGAGAAGATCCTGGCTTCAAAACCTGTTCTGCCATGTATTTACCCTGTGACCTGGGGCAAATTACTTCAACTCTGTAAGCTTTATTTCCTTTATTTGTTAAATACTCATGAAATACCTGTCCTGCTTACATTATGAATGAGAAGACAAATACAGCTTCTGCTCAAGTATAAGGTATTTTATATTTAATGTAAAATGTGTAAATATCCTTATGATTGCCCTATTCTGTTCCATTTTCTGTTCCTAAATTGTATGCCACTATTCCTGACTCTGCCAGTCCTGTATTTCAGTGGATATTTTCCATTATGTTCTTTTATTACGATCCTTTATGTTCTTGCCTTTGACCTAGTCATACCTTCTAAGTACTTTGAGTGTAAGGATTGGGTTGCAGATCTTGCAGGTTCTGGTCTGTTCTCAGGCGTTGCTTTTTAGTTGTACCTGAACTAAATTAAACTGTATAAAAATCTAACTCAAAAACAGTAAAAATGATACTACCACTGCCACTAACCACATCAATAACAGCAATAATATAGGGAAACATTTGTTGAGTGCATGTTTATGGCCCAGGTATGGTGTTAAGCACTTTACGTGGGATCTTCTGTAATCCTCACCCTAAGAGGTATAGATGTGGTTATTGCTCTGTTTTACATCTGAGGAAACTGAGGCTCAGATATGAAAAATAGCTTGATGGTAGCAAGTCAACCCCAGCACCTGGCTGTGCAGCCCTTTCCGTTCACCCAGTTTGCTTTCTATGTCTCTCTCTGGGGAGGGATGTTGAGGCTGTCTTGCCTGCTGACCATTGTTATTTAGTGCCAGTGTCATGACATAGAATTGGAGATAGGGAAGGACCTTAGTGATCGACTTTTTTTTTTTTTGCTTTTGAGACAGAGCCTAGCTCTGTCACCCATGCTGGAGTGCAGTGGCACTATCTCAGCTCACTGCAACCTCTGCTTCCTGGGTTCAAGTGATTCTCCTGCCTTAGCCTCCCAAGTCGCTGGGACTATAGATGCCCACCACCATGCCTGGCTAATTTTTGTATTTTTAGTAGAGACGGGGTTTCACCATATTGGCCAGGCTGGTCTCAACTCCTGACCTTGTGATCCGCCCACCTTGGCCTCCTAAAGTTCTAGGATTACAGGCGTGAACCACTGCGTCCAGCCATTTCAACTTTCTTGAATTACATTTGAAGGAACTGAGTTTCTTGCAGAGGTCAGGTGTTTTGCTGAAGGTATTCATATATGTAGTGATCATTTTCTTCACATTAATTAAAAATTCAACTTTTAGGAATATTATCGAACAACTGGTACACCTCTGATGAAACCTTCCACTTTGATTGTCCAGTATCGTTCCCTGATTGCAGAGTTCTGCACTGGATGCTTTTAAATTCCAGCCCATCCCTAGATCCCTGGAAGTAGAAACTATAGGGCAGTGATGTGGAATGACACTGCCATCTAGTGGATAATATTAAGAAAATGTGTAGTTTTGAATGGTAAAAAAGCTTGCTTTGAAAACAGTAGTCATTCACTCAACAAATACTCATTACATGCTTCTGCAAAAGTCTGTCAAGGCACTGGGTGTTTTGTAGAAAGTGAAATGAAGGATCTTCCTTCATGGAAATTACAATTTAGGAGGAAGTGTCTTTTCCAAGAAGCACAGAATAGTTGATGGATTTAGACAAACTGGTAGATTTATAGCTTCTCAAGTGGCAGGCAGGGAAACGGTCTTGAGTGTTCTGTGGTGTGGGTTGGAATTCTGGCTTATAATTCTATTGCAGGGAGCCCAAAGATATGATGAATTCTGTGGCCCACACCAAACAGAGGCATTGGCAAGAGAAATACAACATTCCACTTGAGATTTCTTCTTCCTTTTCATTTGGAAATTCATTAAGTTGTGCATTTGTTTCTTAGTTCTGGGTCATTGCAGAGATGTGCATTGGGTGCTGAATGATGGCCACATGGAGATCAATTCATTCATTCTGCATGCATCTGTTTAACATTTATTATGGGCCAAACACCATCGTGAGGACTGGCGGAGAAAATGAAAAAAATAGACAAGGTCTTTGTTCTCATGGACTTTATATTCTAGTAGGCAATACACAAGAAAAGAAAGAAATAGGCCAGGTACAGTGGCTCATGCCTGTAATCCCAGCACTTTGGGAGGCCGAGGCAGGCAGATCACTTGAGGTCAGGACTTTGAGACCAACCAGGCCAACATGGTGAAACCCCGTCTCTACTAAAAATACAAAAAAAAATTAGCTGGATGTGGTGGCACATGCCTGTAATCCCAGCTACTTGGGAGGCTGAGGCAGGAGAATCACTTGAATCTAGGAGGCAGAGTTTGCAGTGAGCCGACATCGTGCCACTCCACTCTAGCCTGGGCAACAGAGCGAGACTCTGTCTCAAAAAAAAAAAAGAAAAAAACCGAGAAAGGAATAGATAAGAGTTTAAATTGGGAGATAAGAGAGAGATTTCCTGGTAACCTATTTAAAATAATGTAATCAATGAAAGCTTCTCCTAAAGTTGTAACGTTTAAACTGAGCGCAGAAGGAATGAGCTAATGAAAGGCCAGGACAATCTTCTTCACATTGTGAATGTGTTGTAAAATCACGATTATTGGGTCATGAAATAGAGTAGGCTAAAATAGAATAAAAAATATGAAAGTGCATTTCACTTAACAATTATAAATGTGTGTTTATTGAGTCATAATATAAAAAAGTATTTCTTACTGTATGTTGAAGTTAAAATGTGTATTTATCTAGAAGAAGAGGTTTTCAGGCAGAAGGAGCACCAGGTACAAAGGTTGTGGGAAAGAAAGGGTTTGGAGCATTAGAGGATAGGAAGGAGACCAGAGTGGCTGGAGCTTGGTAACAGTGGGTTAGGATGGGAGGAGGTGAGGCTGGAGGGTTGGGCAGATTATACAGCGTCTTCCAGATTATAGTGGAGGCCCTGGGAAGTCTTCGAAGGGGCTATGAGACCATCTGATTTAGATTTTAAGGTAGATATTCTGGTTCCTGGGTACTGAGTGGATTGGGACAGAGGGAAAGGATGAAGACAGAGATACCAGTTAGGAGAGAAGTGTAGTAGCCCAGAGATGATGTGGCTGGTTTAGGGTAGAGCAGGAAGTGAAGCCCTGTGCTCTGAA